GGACTGTTTAGGATCATCCTAAGGATCTTGTTCTGGAGTTTTTATGTGTTCCACACATGAATTGTTGCAACGTGATCAACAAATCAATATCTATGTGTCGGCCACATACTTAATATATGTACATATAAAAACCATGCGTGACCACACATACTATTTATTTGCGCATAAATTTCATGTGTACTTCTGAGTGGATTCTGTTTATGTGTGGTCAAATGAAAATCATGTGGAATTTCACAAGGAGATTTGTCAAGAAAAATGTGTAAATTGTTTTGAGTGAACCATAACCGGAACATTGAAATACTTGAAAATTTTAAGATAAAGTATAATAGTCAAAAATGCATGAAAAACATTAATTTTGTGTGGTTCTACGCCATACTGCGGTCGTGTCTAGGACACAACCCTTTAGTTTTTTCTTTACTAGAATGTTTTCCCATAATTGGAACACACCACAATATAAACGTTTAGCCATGACTGGTACGCGTACCCTAGTTTAAAAAACCCAATTTCTTCAGTTACAAAGTATTTTTAAGATGACATCATGAGAAATTACATCAACAATTATATAGAGTGAACATTGGTTAGGAATGGGAAAAGTAAATAAGATAGGTCAAATAAGGCTAAAGCTTAGAAATTTACTCGCCAAACGCAACCAAATCTTCTTTGGCTAATGCACCACAAACACAACTTGAACTATGCGCCTGTCCTCAACTTTTTAGTGTCCTTTGAGCACTTCCACTGTTGTTAATTGATTTATTGCTAACCCAGTATTGACTGCCGGAATGTACCTTTACTGACTACCCCAACAGAAAAGTACCATAACAAGTGCTTAACAAGTGTTGGGGGTATAATCCAGATCAATTGTTGAATGATTTTACCATTCGGGATATCGTCCGTGTATGGTTCCCGTTTATTAGGGTTATTCAATATAATCAACATTACATAAAATTACTGTCAAACTTCCCCTTTCTAGATATTAAATTGGTTGAGTGTCCTAACATTTTCAGCTTTATAAGCCAACTTTTCCAGCATGTTGATGTAAAGTAGCTGAAAAAGCTGCAGATACGGCTGAAAGCAGAAGCTAGCAAAATAACTTTAAAGAGCGTTTATTAAACTTTTTTACAACCGTTATTCAATTTGTCAGTCGCACTGAATAACAGCAGCCAATAAACGCTAATGTCACTTCTATGCACATATTAATCAACTTTCCACTTGCAGAACCGTTTCTGGCAGCTCTCATTAAGAATATTGATTAAATGTAGTGTCAGTAACAACCTTGCGATTGAAAACTTCGAAGAAATGCTCGAATTGAGCATCCAGTCTAGATACGTGCGAATCTATCTTAATTATATGTCATCGGATATAGCCTTCCGTGCTATAACCACCGACAAACCGACATGACACTTAATTCTGACTTAGGTCCGAAAAACGTAAACGGCCGATTTAAATGTGCAGTGATCCGAACTGTCAAAACTATAGGATTTTTTGATCTAGATAAAAATAATTTGTCCAGAATCGATCAGACACGAACCAATTCATAACTTTTGCATCCGGGTTCATGGCTTAGCTAAATATTTCCCGCGAACACGGAGCCAGATGTCAGAAGTGTGCTTTGGTCAGACGTTTTATTGTTTTTGCTATGGTAATTCATGTCGGTTTGTCGGTGCTATAACCCCCCTCGTGTATGCTTTACTAACTACAGTTCTCCCATTGACTATGATCTCTCCATGAAACAGGCTATTCAAGGAGTTCCAGATCAACTTCGATCTATCTCAATTCCCCGTATTTTTGCTGAAAAGTATCAACAAGTCAATTGCAATAGAAGATTTTGCACTGATGGATCACGCATTGATGGATCCACTGGCTTCGACGTCTTTAAAGAATACTCAACCACCTTTCGGAAACTTCAGGAACCTTGTTCCGTTTATTTTGCTGAGCTAGCAGCAATCAACTTCGCATTGGGGATGATTTCCGACATGCCCATAGACCATTACTTCATCTTCTCGGATAGTCTCAGTTCGATTGAGGTTATTCGGTCGATGAAACAAGGTAGGCATTCATCTTATTTCCTTTCAAAGGTAAGGGAGCAGATGAGTTTGCTGGTCGAAAGATCATATAGGATTACCTTTGTATGGGTCCCCTCACACTGCTCAATCCCAGGCAATGAGAAGGCAGACTCTCTCGCAAAGGTAGGCGCACAACAAGGCGAGATTTATGATAAAAGAATTTCACATGATGAATTTTTCCCATTAGTACGTCAGAGTTCTCTTTTAAGTTGGCAAAACGATTGAACAAGTAATTCTCTTGGGCGGTGGTTACATTCCATTATTCCAAATGTTGCTTCGAGAGCGTGGTTCAAAGGTCTGGGCGTAAGTCGGGGATTCATTCGCGTGATGTCAAGCAAAACTTATGTCCAACCACTATTCGCTAGACGCACATCTCTACAGAATAAACCTCGTTGACAGCAATATATGTAGGTGCAGAACCGGTTATGATGACATCGATCACGCAGTTTCATATTGCCCGGGTAATGACGCCTCCAGAGCACGACTGTTGGATACCCTTGTGGCCCGAGGTAGACAACCCTTCCGTGAAGTAAGAGATGTATTGGGAACCCGTGATCTTCCCTGCATGCTGGCGATCTACGAATTCCTTTGTTTGTCTGATGTTAGAGTTTGATGTGACCATCCCCTCCTTTCCAAACAATTTCCAGCCATTGTGTCCCAGTCTTATTATCCTTCTGTTTCTGTGCTACTTGCCCCTGCCCAGCCAGGATTTGGTCAACCATCCGAGAGTTCTGAAGGAGGCTTCAGAAACCAGTTTCCTACCTAGCTCCTTCCAATCGAAATTGTTACCCATTAACCTCGAGCCCGCCACGAGTAATTGGTACCCAATACTAACCTAGAACTACTGCTGTTTAAATGTTAATTCAAGCATTACGGATTTTTGTCTCCGCAAAGTATCACACACGACTGAGCCTAGTAAATAAACGAACAAGTTAAAAAAAAATTCCACTTGTAGCTGCAAAATAAAGCTAATATAGTGAATAAGTTACCCAATGGATCCAGTCTATAGTCGCTATATTCATAGTCTGGCGGATAGAATTTCGGGGACCAATTGAGCTGTCAAATACCGGAACCAATCGAGCAAATCACGACCAACAACAGAAAAGAGCACATCAACTATTGCGATCAAAACTTCGGAAACCCTTTTCACGTGACTCAAGGCTCGCCTACGCAAACTAACATATTTTTTTGGTTGGGGAAAGTTTCCTCTATCCGATGATGCTGGTAATTTGCGTTCGATTGGCGAGGAAAGAATAACCAACGTTTTGTTTATAAAAGTTGATAGTACCTTTTCAATTGTTGGTCTACAATATATTGAATTGGTTCCGCTTTTTGATAGATCGAAATTCTATCTGCCAGACTATAAATATAGCGACTATAATCCAGCCATCCACAACTGATAAACAATTCGCAGCACCAACGACAGTTACCGAAACCAGCAACATCAGCATTCCTTTGCCCGCGCTCTGAGACCAACAGATAGCAACATCAACAACAACGACAACGACCACGCGATCCACTGGCACCACACGTACCGCTGACATCGCTGGAACTTGACACCCGATATCCGCACATAGAAGCAGCCCATTATGTGCATGAGGTAGATAGACTAATCGATGTAACCAAATTGAAATAATAAATTCATTCTTAATCAGGCCTTCATCCAGAACAGTTTATTTTTTAAAAGTTACATCCGAACGTCCGTTCGATTATTAATATACATACTAGTCAAGAAGTCAAGTTGATGGCTTCTACACAACTAATGAACAACCTGTACTTACTGCGCTACATTGGAAGTATTTTCACAGTCTACTAGGTTTATTTTTAGATGTGTGCAGTTTTACAACTTTTACTCCGCTCCTTTACAAAGCTGAATAAACTAGTCGAGAAAAGTGATTCATGTGCACTATTATAAAGCCTCTACTCAGCGACCTTGTTGTAGAAGGGCATGTAGATTTTTTTACATCAGTTCACAGAGTTGGCGTACCTAAGTTGGTAGTGTCAAGGTTTGCCAATGCGGTCGTCTCCAGTTCGATTCCGGGTTTCCAGCACAAGGTAAATAATTTGGTGGTGTGCTTTATTTATAACTAACTTCGAATAATTTAATTCGCAGCTATATAACATCAATAAATTCCTCCATCAAAAAAAGTAAACGATATTTAACCCGGCTTCAAGATAAAGCTGTGTTGGTTATTGGATAATCGGGAAAAGATTGAATAAGCAACTAAACAGCAGAATAACAGCTGTATAGAAGCGTAAATAGATATGCAATAAGAGCTTGTCCCAACCGTCCCAATAGTTGAGTAAAGGTTGCCTCATATCGTATAAAATTTGAATACAGCTTGATGCTGTATAAATGAAATGATGAGTAAAGCGTTTACATTGCGAACATTGTTAGTTGAGCATTTAGTAATAAGAGGTAAATTTTTTAATCTTCCCTGGAATGCAATATCCTATAAATTAGAATAACTGGATGTCATTGCATAGATTGTTTGACGGTCACAAATAGCAAATAAATTATAAACATAGAAAGTTGATTGTTTGATCGAAATTTTGGCAGACTTCTAAAATAATTGTGAGTAGTAAAACAAATGGGCACTTTCGTTTCTATTAGAGATCATTCATAAATAACGTAGCATATGGTTGACCCATTTTAGATCCCCCTTTACCTCGTAGCTTATTTTGCTATACCAAATACATGGTCGGTCAAAACTTTTAAAACCCCTCCTCCCCTCGTCCCTTAAAAGCTACGTCATTTATACATGTTCCCTTACTATTAATGATTGTGCACATATGTGCATTTAGTGCAAATTATTAAAACTCACAAACAAACGTGTTCCTATGGCACCATCACGATTAGATTGACACCTCGTTAAATAACAGTCAGCGAACAATACCGCCATGGATGAATTTAGTCATAATGAAAGTGATACGTACCATGATTAAAGTCAGCAATTAGTACGATGTAAACAAAGTTTTGTTATTTTGCCCAATACGTTAACAATTTATTCAATATGAACAACCTAGACGACACTAGACGAGACAAGGTATAAAAGATTTACAATGTGTAATAACTTTGAACGCTCTAAAACTGTAAACTATGCTTAGGATACGCGGGCAACGGCAAGTTAACGAACCTCAAGGTACGTTTGACAAACAGTCACACACAGCCACACATAGTCGAAGAACTTTGGGACTTTCTTTTGTGTAGGTCTTCCATTGTTTCCGCTCAACAAACTTGACGAATGATTGTTTTCAAATAGTTGGTAGTACGCAATAGACAATATAGTGCTTATTCAAATTGGCCGTTTTATTTCACAAAGTACAATCGTTTTCAAATCAGCTTCTGATCATAATTTTAACCCTTGAGGGAAATGACAATCTACACGCAGAAAAAAATATTTTAAAAGTAATAATATTTGACGTAAAATCAATAAGAATTTCATTTTGTTTTGGCTGCAAAAAGAAATCATTATTGTTTCAACAATCCAGTATTTTTGTTTCTAAAAACCCATGGATTGTTAAATCAAAAAGAAAATCTTTTAGAATTTACAAGAGCTTAGATGGTTGTGACGTAAGCTGTCAAATATGGCAGCTGGGTCAACAACAAAAATATGTTTGTTTTTAAAAGAGATTTCTTGTTGATTCAATCATATTTATTTTATAAAGTCTGACAATTCACGCAGTAGAAATAAAAATGTGTTTATTGATGTAAAAATAATATGGCATTTTTTTTATGTTTCGTTTTCATTTTGAAACAAAATTGCAGAAATTGTAATTGAATTTCTGAGGCATAAAATAAAAGCCCCCGGTTCATGAGCTGATGGGTCGATATGTAGGGTCCAGATGTGGGAGCTGCCTTCCTGGCGTCGGGAGCATTGGTACTCAGTACGGAAAACAAGATCGATGGAAAAAAATAAAGGAAAAAAAACAGAAATATTGATTATATTTATCAACTGCAGCTCGAATTGCAGCATACTTACTTAACTCAAGTCTCAAGATTTTCGAAAATCTTGCACTTATTTCCCGAAATTTACAATTAAAAACAATACTTACGTGGAACGCGTAGGTATTGTTATTGTTTACATTTTTGTCCGGGTGAAAACGAGGGAATGGTTGGTAGTTATTTTTGCTTTCATGGCCCAGAGAATGGACACAGCAAATAAATGCTAAATTAAAATTAACTATTGTTGGCTTAATAATAGAATATTGTTATTTTTACAATAGTTGCATTTGAAAAGTGGCTGATTAAAACAAAAAGAATCCTATTTTGAATTTATATGAATAAGTATTATTGAAACAACAAAAAGCAATATAATTTCAACTGGAATTGTTTGCTTAAATACAATTAAAGATTTTTTTGGTTCAATGCAAACAATTTTCTGTCCGTGTATATGGAAAATTTGGTGAACTTTTTATTCAAGCAATTGAATTCCCAACAAAAATTTCAGAGTCACAAATAAGCATATATATCGAATAACTGCTGTATAACGTAATTGCTGAATAAATATACCTAAATAATATATAAAAATTTACTGCATCCTAGCCATTTTGTATTTTACACACTCCTTGTTGAACGCCTACATGAGAAAAAATGGTCACGGTTAATTTTGGAGATTCGCCAGGTCCAGTTTTTCATGAAGTTTTTTAATACTCAAAAATGATTTTGTAGGTGCATTATGACATTCAATAATTAATAATGGCTATCAAAATAAGACCTATAATGAATTAAATAAAACCTAAAGATAGTAAATTTTACGATAAACAACTTTGCCAAAGAGAGTATAAGTAAAGACAACAAATCAATGATATGATGTCTTCGGTACACGAATAGAAATCTCCTTATACCTTTTGGCAAATTTCCATTGCTGATTATTCATAAAATGTATAAGTCAACCAATAAGCAGACGCATTGCACAAAGTTAATAAAGATCATGTGTCAAATGAAATGTATAAGCGGTCACACATACCTTTTATGCATTCTAATAGGACCTATGTGGTTTGTCTTATGGAATGTATAAGGCTGATGCTTTGGCAAAAATGTATAAGTGAAACACATGAATTAAATAATTGATTTTCGTTTCGTGTATAAGACTAATGTTGTCCGTAATCTTCATATATCCGCAATGTCATACAAAAACGACAGACAAATAGACGTAAAACTTGAAAAATATTTCCTTACAAATATCGCTACGAAACTCACTAACGATATCTCGCGAGCTATTCGAAAGCCTCAAGATAAATAAAACAGAGTATCCGGCGCCGACTGGGATTGAACCCAGGCCCTTTGGGGTGAGAAGAAATCACGCTTACGCTATACCACCGGCGCCACTATTTTTTGGTGCTTATATACATTAGTATCTAAATCGTTTGTTATCGTTTAGATCAAACTCGTTCAAGAGTCCAGCAAATCCAAAGTACTTTGTGATGCCTAATTTTGAAAAGAAGAAGATAATAATCATGTTTGCCACCTACCGATTTTAGACGGTTGGTGCATTATCCAATATTTGATGCAATATTAGAAACTAGACATCTTATACCCCGTTCACATTACAGCGTATATCACGTGATATACGCTGTCTAGCAACGAGCACTCATATACATCTAGTTTTCACTGGAAATCCTATGTATAAGTGCTCATTGCAAGACAGCCTATATTACGTGATATAGGCTGTAATGTGAACGGGGTATTAGAGTTTACGGTTTTCGCAGCAGAAATTCTTCATAGTAAATAGTAAAGGACAAAACAAGATACAAACAATATGAATAACCCTAACTATTATTTATTAATTTTGTCAAGTAGAAAGCGTTATGGCCGTTATCTATTATGTCTATAACACTGGATAGCTTATCGAAACTTTCATTGCTCAACTGTAAATGTTGGTAATGATACAATATAATGGTCATTTGTCTATTGTTACATCCATAGAGCGATCATATCTGAGATAATTTTGTAAGTCGCAGGTTGTACATTCTGTCCTCTGAAAAGAAGTATTGTGTGTGGTTCCTGTCTTTTGAAGTGCACTTTTTGTTAGAATAAGTACATAATTCAGTTGAACTGAAAATGGTAAGATTTACTAAACATTTGGAAAATGCCCTAGCCTTATTTACCAAATCGTTTTTTTTTTTTGTCACAGCGAGAGGTCATCTCGATTCATGTCGGTCAAGCCGGTTGTCAGATTGGAAATGCCTGTTGGCCGTTGTTTGCGCGTGAGCATGGCGTTCTATCTGATGGAAAATTGGGCCCCGACTGTCACGTTGACGAAAATATGACCACATTTTTTCATGACGCAAAATCAGGACGAGTCGTACCGCGTAATTTGTTTCTGGATTTGGAGCAATCGGTAATCGACGAGATCAAAGTAGGGCCCTACCGACATCTATATAACCCATTCCACATGATCGCCGGTAAAGAAGACGCTGCAAATAATTACGCAAGAGGACACTACACCGTCGGTCGTCAGATCATCGAACATGCCTCGAACTCGATACAGAAGCTTTCGGAGCAATGCGATGGGTTGCAAGGATTTTTGATTTTTCGATCGTTTGGTGGAGGGACAGGATCTGGATTATCCTCTCTACTGATGCAGCAGATTACCATGGATTTTGGGAAGAAATCCAAGCTCGAATTTGCAGTATACCCTGCCCCAAGGATCTCAACGGCTGTCGTGGAACCTTACAATAGTGTTTTGACCGCTCATACGACTATGGAATCTTCAGACTGTTGTTTCATGATGGACAATGAGGCAGCATATGACATATGTTCGAATAATCTCCAGATCGGTAGACCTGATTACGGTAATTTGAACGCATTGGTAGCACAAGTTGTTTCTTCCGTGACTGCCTCATTGCGCTTCAAGGGAACAATGAACGTTGATATTAACGAGTTCCAAACGAATCTGGTTCCTTATCCACGGGTGCACTTCCCGTTGGTGTCATATGCCCCCCTACTTTCAGCATCTAAGGCAAATCACGAGCTGTCATCGGTGTCCGAAATTACCACTGCTGCTTTCAGCCAAGAGAACACAATGGTTAAATGTGACCCTAGAACCGGCAAATACATGGCATGTTGTCTACTTTACCGAGGTGATGTCGTTCCAAACGATGTTAACAACGCTATCAATACAATCAAGAACAAACGACACATAACTTTTGTCGACTGGTGCCCAACCGGATTCAAAATCGGGGTTAATCAGCAAACTCCGTATATACTGCCCGGCGCAGGCCTAGCTAAACCCAAAAGAGCTGTTTGTCTGCTGTCCAACTCGACTGCAATTGCCAGTGCATGGGCACGACTGAATCAAAAATTTGATCTAATGTACAGGAAGCGCGCATTCGTCCACTGGTACGTCGGCGAGGGCATGGAAGAGGGAGAATTTAACGAGGCTCGAGAGGACCTGGCTGCTCTGGAAAAGGACTATGATGAAGTGGCAGGCGCTACTGCCGGTGACGACGACGACGACGAGTTTTGCGAATACGAGTATTAACTTTTTAATGATTTGATTAAGGCTGACCGTTATTAATAGAAAAAAAATAAATGTTTGTAGCTTATAAATTTTAAAAATACCTATCTTTTCAACCATTAACCTTAAGTCCGCTATTCGGTTTTTAAGTCACGAATTATTTAGGGTTTCAGATATTCAATTTAGGAGTTATTCCCTGAGGAGTGGTTTTGTTTGTTTTCACTTTTAGGCACATTTTCAGCATGCTGGAGATGCATGAAATCAATTAGCATATACATTATGTACACGGTAGGAAAAAAGTACCAAACGGCCAGTTCACTTTTACCTACTTTCGACTAGTTTGTGTCCTTTTCTCCTTCTAATGTTGTTAAAAACGGAGGAGCAAAACCAACCAACAGGGTTAGTAAAGTGTGAGAACCCAACGTTGAGTATAATCATATTTACCTACTTTTGGGTACAAATAACTTACTTTTGGGTAGAAAGCTAGTGGAAAATTTCATTCGAATTGAACACAAGTAAATCAAAACTACACACTTAGATTTTTTGGCTGAGATGGGCACCACCGAGCAGTTCGGCAATCTATTTTGCTGGATCTCAGTGAAAAATTTGCCGAGATTCCAAACGGGAATTTGCCGAGATCTCGGCTAACACTGAGATCTCAGTAAAAATAAATGCTGAACCTGCTCGGTGGTGCCAATCTCGGCAAAAAAATCTAAGTGTGTACTTTGACTCGCTTTACCTACATTTGGGTTCCTGCACTATAATGCCGAGATGAGTGAAAAGAACTTAGTTTTGGGTACTTTTTTCTTACCGTGTACTCTATCCCTAAAGCTAGGTTTAGACTGGGCAAGTCAAATGATCAACTCAATTGAATTCAATTGACTTGAAAGGTTGAGCCTGGTTCAACTTTTTTCAATTCAAGTGAGTTGATCAAATCAGTTCAATGGCATGGTTTACACGTTCAATTCGCGTTCAAGTCAGTTGAATTCAACTGACTTGATCAATTGACTTGCCCTGTCTAAGCCCAGCATAAGATATAGCAGTAAAAAAGTTAAGTAATAGCACAAACTAAGTGACAGACGGAGCGGCTCGAAAACTTTGGTGACGAACCTGCTATTGCAATTTTTCAGTGTACCACATGGCAACACTACTACTGGATTGTACTAGTATTTTAACCAAATTTACTAAAATGATTTGGTTCTATCTCTTTCACTCTACTCAAAACTCAAAAAAAAAAAACATACCAAGTGAAAACTTAATCATGTTTTGCCGTGGATTGTTGTGGTTTTGAGATGCCTAGATCCCGGTTTTGCTTAATGAGCAGAATATCATGGGTTTAATCCCATGCTCGCCCACAACATAATAAATCGCCATCGTTGGGTTCCGAGAGTATAAAGCGCGGTTATTAATCAATAGTTGAATTGTTTAAACCATGAGGTTCGGAAAGGGTGTATGCGTGAGCTAGTTTGGAAGACATTGTTGGCTGCTTTCAGAGACGTCAGTTAATTTCAATAACTTTTTGTTAGGTCGGTCGTAGATTGTGGTAATGTTTGATATTTGATAAGGGGCACGGTGGCTATAGAGCAACCGTTTCTGCTTAATGAGTAGAATATCATGGGTTAAAACCCAAGCCTCATTACATTACAGAGTAGATCTATCATCCATTCCACTATTGTAGAAAATTGTTAATATCTGAAATTGGAGGACCGGTTCGCTGTTGATAATTATATTTAAGATCGTAATGAGTAGTTTTTCTCAGCCTTCACTCATTGTTTTAAATAATATATAATTTTATTTTCAGCTCTTTGAATATATGATTAGATTAACATAATAATAATACACTTTTTTCAGTGTTCATTCATGCTGGATGTATGGATTTAAATTAATTAAGCTTGATTTTAGCTCTTCGTAGATGAAACATCTCTAGAATTAAATTATAATAATTCATTTAAATTATTGAATTTTGTATTTATATTATCACCTTAGAGATAAACTACCCAACAAACAATTTTAGCTGCAGATTAGCTTATACAGCCAAAATTTGCCTTATGCAGCTAATTTTTGCCTGTATAAGCTAAGCTGCAGTTAAAATTGTTTGTTGGGTAGCCTACGGCTAAAAATCTCTTTAATCAAGAATTAAAAAACTTTTTAACCTTATGTTGACCCGGTTGTTTGTATGAAAATGTATTTTCAGTTCTTCGATGGATCTTTGGATTTATATTATAATGATGATTTTTATTTCAGCTTTCGTTGAGGCAAATCCAGAAATTTAGAGAAGAAGAACAAATTCTCTCAATGCAGCGTATCGTCTACCAAAACGAAACCAACCCTTATATCACAAACGACGTGACAGACGGAGCGGCTCGAAAACTTTGGTGACGAACCTGCTATTGCAATTTTTCAGTGTACCACATGGCAACACTACTACTATTGCACACTTTCAAAGATCATTAAACACAAAATCAACTTTGTTCAAATCAAAACAAAAATACTAGCCCATCTGGTGACTGATGGCACAAGCTTATAAGAAAATTCTATTACAGCGAACCACGTTATTTTAATTGATTTCTTCGCCAGTTAGTCGTCTGTAACTTCGTTTGTGCTTATATCCAACATCCCAGTGATTTTTCGTGGAAGAGTAGAAGATTTCTTGGCTTCGTACAACACGAGTTTTCACGTCAACATATTTCTACCCATTCCTCAATTGACCTGTATTCAGACGTGGCCGGCGCTGGTATGGCCTTTTAAAAGTATGAGATCACCAGTTTTAACACATTGAGGATGAATGATAGTCCCAAGTCTGTTGGTTCTCTGTTTAATTACAGCTTATCTGGCAGTAACGGAGTAGCGGACGCGGGAGGTCGATCTTGCTCATGCTGATATTTCATGCAGCTTCTACCAAAGCCCTGACAAGTTCGTGTTGATGTCAAGCAGACCGTCTACAATTATAATTATCACGTAAGGAGGAAGGAGATACCTGCGATGCGTCGAAGAGAGTCTGTTGCTGTTGGTGCAGCTGCACTTGGTTATTTGGGTGAGATCATTCCTTTTTATTTATTTATACAGTAACCCCTCCATATTGTTAGGACATCAATTCAGCTTATTGTTAACCAAAGCGATCCCTGCTGCAAACCCTACCCTCTTACCCAACATTCCAGTGATAACTCGTGGAAGTCCTACCCATTCCTTTCTTGACATGCGTTCGGGCGCGGCCGGCGCTGATATTGCCTAGTTTGAGATCACCAGTTTTTACACATTGGGATGATTATCAGTCCCAAGCATCGTCTATTCGTTCTCTGTGTGGTTACAGCTGATCTGGCAATAACAGAGTAGCAACCGTGGGCTGTCAATCATGCTCATGCTCATATTATTTGTAGAATCGATGTAGGCGAGCTAGGTTTCATTTTGAGTCTAGAAGATAGATATTTTTTGATGATTTGAATATGTTATGCAATTATGAACTAAATAAACAATATTCTCCAATAAAATGCATTTGATGGTCGGTTTGGCATAACTGAGTAACTCGCTCACGCATACTAACACCACCATCAGGTAGGGGAAAAGTTTTTCTATATTATGGAAGTGTTAGCATGCGTGGGCGAGCTACCAGTTACGATAAATCGACGATCAAATGCATTGTTTACAAAAGCTGATACGTCCCTTCCAAAAAGTAGTCGAGAATTCTCATTAGATTGTAGTAGGTATTGCTATCATCCGAAAAATGATACGACAATATTTTAACAAAATTAAACGTGTGGGATTAGCACAATGACCCAACATTTCAAAGGGGCGTAATTGCATTTGTAAACAATGGCTTTAGTCATCGATTTCTCGCGAATGAAAGCTCACTCATGAAAATGAATGACACAAGCACGCAGAGGAATGTTTCCTGTATCAGCTTGCATTTGTAATTTGGAGGGGTGGGTTTTCATTTGCGAGAAATCGACGTCTAAAGCCATTGTTTACAAAAGCAATTACGCCCCTTTGAAATGTTGACACTGACTTGGTTCTTGATGAACTAGCCTGATGGCTAAAAATCACGTGAAGAATAAAAAAAAAACAATGCCCCGGTACATTATACCGAGATGAATTCGAATACACTCATTCTGTTACGCGATTTTCATGTTTTCGATTTTACCCTCATGCAGAATGGGTACAAAATGTTTAATGCCACTATCTTATTCTTGGATTTTATTGAAACATAAAGACTGGAACGTGCAAAAAATTATCGACAAAAAAATCGTTTCTTTCAGTCAAAATTCATATCACAAAAATCTTCTTATTTTTGTTTTGGTAGTTCAATACATATATTTAAAGGAAACAATGTTCGTTTATTCTTTGGGTTTGCCAAATCCGAACTGCCGTGCCTTCCGCTTAACCCCTTCCATTAAATTTTGCAAAGTCTCATCGACCTTATTCGCCGCCGAACGCCAGTTAGATTTAAACTGGTGCGCATTTTCCATGGATTTATTAGTTTTTTTTTTGAAATTCCGTTTGACCAAGGCCCAATACCGTTCGATAGGAGTTCTGGGCTGCTGGGAGGTTTGTGGTCTTTGGGTATCACAACCACGTTGTTCACATCGTACCACTCGGTTGCCTTTTTCCCATAGTGGCAGCTCGCCAAGTCCGGCCAGAACAGCACAGGTCTATTATGTTGCTTTAGGAATGGTAGCAGCCGCTTTTCCAGGCACTCCTGGACGTAGATCTCTTGATTGGTAGTTCCCGTAGTAATGAAAATGCCGCGATTTAGACCACACGTGCATATGGCCTACCAGACGAGATATTTTTTCCGCTACTGCGATAGTTTGATGGTTTTGAAAATTTCAGCCACCTTCCTTTTTCATGATGTGGTATAAAACTTCTGTCCTGCAAGCTACTTGAAATCAGCCTTCACATAAGTTTCGTCGTCCATGACGACACAGTCGAACTTTGTGAGCAGATTTGTATACAGCTTTCTGGACCGCTGCTTTGCCGACGTGTTTTGTTTGTAATCTCGGTTCGCCACCTTCACCTTCTTAAACGTCGACAACCCGGCTCGTTTCTTGGCCCGCTGCACAGTAGTATGGGAGACATTGAGCTTGCCAGCGACGTCCCGGATGGAGAGGTTAAGATTCCACTTATATTTCACCACCACCTTCTTCGTCGTCGCTGCCACGTCCGGATTACGATTGCCGCCGCTTCCAGGCTTCCTGGCGGTCGACAGACGCTCCCCGAACACTTTTAAAACGTTTGTCACGGCCGATTTGGCCACATCCAGCAATTTTGCAAACTTGGCGTGTGAGAACGTCGGATTCTCTTGCTGCGCGAGCAAAATTTTGACACGCTGCTCCCTCTTGCTTGGACGTCATTTTGAAAACTGGAGAGCAAACGGCAGAGCTGCCAGGTGGTTTTATAAAAAATCTGTATCCACTCTATTAAAAAATCTGTATTTTCTGTATTGACGATTTTTTTTCTTAATTAATCATGTTTTGTTGTTTTACAAATACAGTGCATACAAAATAACAATAAAAAGTGCTTAACCACCTATTCGGGCTATCGTACTAACCATACGGGATATAATTGCGCCATTTGTGATATCGTCCGTACTTATTTATAAGAGTGATATGAAGCCGTTTGAAAATGTATGGAGATTTTAGTTTCTATTCATTATCTTCCTGATAAGCAGTTTTAAATGCAAAAAAGTGCACGAGCTCATTACTATTTGATATTTTTAATATAGATGAATACAATTAATTACATCATTTGTGTGGTAGTTACACCGAAAAGTCGAGAGATGTCACCCCACCAGTGCTGGTAAAATCATTTTTGCAGTATGGAGACTATCATAAAATCCGCAATTTCTTACGAAATACATTTTCAATGCGAAACTACCGTGAATGGCGTGACTGCGTTTTCCGTTGGAGGGAGTGAGAGAAGCATACACGCAGAAAAAATATTTTAAACGTAATAATATTTGACGTAAAATTAATAAGAATTTCATTTTGTTTTGGCTGCAAAAAGAAACCATTATTATTTCAACAATCCAGTATCTTTATTTCTAAAAACCCATGGATTGTTAAATCAAAAAGAAAATCTTTTCTAATTTACAAGAGCTTTCATGGTTTTGACGTGAGCTGTCCAATTTGGCAGCTGGGTCAAAAAAAATATGTTTGTTTTTAAAAGAGATTTCTTGTTGATTTAATCATATTTATTTTATTAAGCCTGAAAATATACGCAGTAGAAGTAAAAATATTTTTATTGATTCAATAATGTTTTGTTTTCTTTTAGTAATAAACAGAATTGCAATTGAATTAAAAAAAAAAACTTTCTGAGGCATAAAATCTCTCCGGTTCATGAGTTGATGGGTCGATAGGTAGGGTCCAGGCAGCTGCCTTCATGGCGTACTCAGTACGGAAAACAAGATCGACGGAAAAAATCAAGGAAAAAAATAACTGAAAAACTGTTTATATTTAACAACTGCAGCATAATTACTTACTTCAAGTCTCAAGATTTTCGGAAATCTTGCACTTTTTTCCCGAAATTCAATGTTAAAAACAATATTTACGTCGAACGCGGAAAAAAAAACTGAATCAAACGAGGACAGTTTTGTGTTATTGTTTACATTTTTGTCCGGGAACGAGGGAATGGTTTGTAGTTATTTTTGCATTCATGGCCTGGGGAACGGACACAACAAATAAATGCAAATTAAAAATTAACTATTGTTGGCTTAATAAAAGAATATTGTTATTTTAACAATAGTTGCAGTTGAAGAGTGGCTTATTAAAACAAAAAGAATCTTATTTTAAATTAATTTGAATAAGTATTATCGAAACAATAAAATGCAATATAATTTCAATCGGAATTGTTTGTTTAAATACAAATAAAGTTTTTTTTGGTTCAATGCAAAAAAATCTGTCCGTGTAAAAGAAACAGCAACGCCTCGAGCAGATCCCACTGCAAAAAATATGGTTTTTAGCACAACAATTAATTTTGGAGAGAAGGGGGTACGCTGATAAAATCGAGCAAGTTATTTTGTTTTTATAAATTTTGAATTTTTTTTTCTCAAGCATTTTATAAAAATCTGTATAAATCTGTATTGTAATTTAAAAATCTGTGATAAATCTGTATTCTGTATCGGGTCTGTATTAAGATTAAAAAATCTGTATAATACAGATAAATCTGTATAAATGGCAGCGCTGGCAAACGGTGAAAACTCACACGCTAACTTGAAAGTACTCATTAATGAGTAAAAAAGACCCATTTTGAAGAAAAGTGGCTTAACTCATTAATGATTAAACAATTTTACCCATTAATGAGTATCTGTTACCCATTAATGATTAACAATTACTCATTAATGGGTAACAGATACTCATTAATGGGTAAAAAATTTACTCATTTAATGAGTTAAGCCACTTTTCTTCAAAATGGGTCTTTTTTAACCATTAATGGGTACTTTCAAGTTAGCGTGCATAGCAACCATTATATATACACTCAACTTCCAGATGCAGCATTTCAGGTTTTTTATGCATTTTTAACAGAAATACACCAATTTGAAGTTGACCAATTTTTGCGCGTTCCAGAATTTATTACATTAAATTTGATTGCTAAAAACGTAAAAACAGAATTAAGTGTATTTCAAAATAAATTAAGAATCGTCGTTAACATTCAGTAAATCTCATTTCTTACCAATAACAACAATAGTACAATATTTTTAGTGTTACTAGTGCGTGTAACAAATATCATCATGTTGCCAGTTATTTTATTTGTCTTCGCGTTTTGCTCTCTTATAGGGCTTTAGATTACGGGTACTTTAATCGATTGGAATCAATGTTGGAGTTCTAGGGTCTTCGGACAGTAGGAAAAAACGTATTATTACTATTGTAATACTATCTTTTTTATTTCTCTCCTGTTTTTTTTTTATCAAATAGCGTAGACATTAGAACTTGCCGTAGGTAGTTGTATCCACCTTACATAAAGTTTGATTTTAAAGTATAATTCGCATCTTTTTATCATTGAATCTGTTTCTCCAATAATTGTATCATTCGCTTCTCTATATCATAACTCAATCTGTTTCTCCAATTAAAACCAATCCTATATACTGAATCTACGTGCTAAAACGGGGAGGGGGAAACATTTCCCCATCTTGTTCATCAAGAGCATTCTGTCATTAAAGATCTGTAAACAATATTTATGGAAAGGGATCCCATGGTTATCATGGAATGGCTATTTAAAACATTGATCTCAAAAACAAATGCCCAAGAAGGGTATAAAAAAAAACATTGATCTATTGTAGTTTTCTACCTGGGTGAAACTTTTACAGTTATAGCCTAAGGAGCTAAGGAAATCTCCGTCGAATGGGCTGCTCGTTTTATTTAGTCTTGCATGTCTTGTTCGCTGTGATAGCTTTTATGTATCACGAATTGTCAGTTTTCTTTTAATAGGGGGACCTTTTCAAAAGAAATGGTCCCCCTATTAAAAGCATAAATCCAATCACTTTCGATTGTTTTTCAAGTTTGCGAGTCTTTCATAGCCAGAAATGTTAATATTTTGTTGTATATAAATGTGTACTTCCTCAAAATATAAACGATGATAAAATAAATGTTAGAAAAATGGCGTCTACGAGGAGTCGTGGCTTAAATCCATTCCCTTTTGCCCTCCTAGCGTTGTCCAGGTACGAACGTGTTCTATTTAATAGGGAACGTTCGAAAACAGATAGGAAACACTTTCGCCGTTGTGAGTTCGGCGGACAGCCTCAGCAAACATCATGGACACGTCGATACACTGCAAATGAAAAGATGGTTAGCTATGTTAGGAACACTGATGCAGATAAGAAAGTTGCTTACCTGAATCTTAGGACAATCCTTCATATGTCCACCCTGAGGGATAGTATTCGTAACAACTACGGCCTCAAAGCAAGCGTTATTTATCCGCGAAACAGCTGGCCCGCTAAATATTCCATGTGTAAGAATGGCATACACCTTGGTGGCACCGGCTTCCATTAGTTTATCTGCCGCATGGCAAATAGTGCCGCACGTATCGGCCATATCATCCACTAGGATAGCTACCCGATCTGTCACGTCACCAACCAGCACCATTGAAGCAACTTCGTTTGCCTTCTTTCGCTCTTTGTGAATCAGAGCAAATTCAACGTTTAATCGATCAGCAATCGAAGTCACACGCTTAGCACCGCCGGCATCCGGCGACACAATGATGGAATTTCGCCACTCTACGATATTCTCCCGGATCCACTTGAGCACTGCCGGTTCGGCATATAAATTATCCACTGGGATATCAAAGAAACCCTACACAAGGAGAAGCGCGTTTTTTAATGAATGTTTCAAATCGATAAAAACAAAGATTATCATACCTGAATCTGTGAAGCATGTAGATCCATCGTGATGATATGATCGGCACCAGCCACTGATAACATATTAGCTACCAACTTTGCCGAGATCGGTGCACGGCTCTGAAATGGAAATACACATAAAAGCACACTTTAGTTCACCATTTTTTTCGAATGATCTGTTGATTTAAAAACCCAATTAAAAATGTCATTCCTGTTAGTTTTGCTGCAAAGATTAGAAACCGATCTGATGTTTCCGCAATGAGTTGAACGTTTTACCCACATGCATTTAATCATGAGTGCCACCTGAATGATCGGACGAAAACATGTGATCTGTGAAACAAATTAATTCTGCAACTGAATGCTCTCTCCAGCTCTACGATAGGTTATTCCTATGTTTCTAATCGTCCTATTTTTAAAGTTTTTATTTTGTGAAAGCGGTCTCAAATCCACACAAATTTGCTTCGAAATCACGCCACATTAATATGTGTATAGGATTCTATCTACATTGTTGGGAAAGAATAGAAATTGGGAACGGATTTTCGATGGGAGTGCACGTTTAGTTTGGAGAGAAGTAGAAGTATAGCTGCACGCTGTAAGAAGGCACACTCGCCAGCGGAATCAAATGCTGCTAAAAAAACAATCCCACGTGTCTACTCACAGTATAAATGTCTGGTACGTAATCCTAGAGAGATAAGTTCATCGTAAGGAGAGAAGAGTAATTAGAAATTGTTTTTTTCATGGTGAATGATTGGGATTGTTTCTATAGTTATTATTGGCCAAAAATCAAAATATATCTACTTCCGCAAAATGTACACGGGTTTTGGAACAAATTGTGGAACCATCAAAAATAGATTTTAATCTTCAATTAGATGGACGCTAAACGCTTATCATGACTCATTCCGAAGTCTTTATTGGTGTTATGGAATTTTCTATTGTCATTATTTGCTTGTTTGTAAACCAACACTAGCTTACAACAGACTTTTTGTTTGCATGGTCCCATGGAACATTTATGCCTATAACGGCAGTATATTACAAGTTCTAATACGAAGTTCACACTCAACGACCAAATCTACCAAGCCTGCATGACCTAGCTATATACTTGTTTTTTTTTTCGCTTGCTGTATTTATGGTTCGATGAATATGTTTGAAGCTGTTCATTTATTTATCGTTCTGGCCTGGAATGTATATCGCTGGAAAAATTGGCTAGAATCGAAGACAACAAATCAAGAAGACTGGCAACTTTGCCAAAATTCAAGCGACAGATACAGTAGCGCTGCACTTGAGTGAAGGTGGAAGCAACGCATAGAAAAATGAGCAAATACACAAACCCTTCGTCTGAGGCTGTAATCTTTGCTATCAAATTCGTTCGAAGCATTTACCTTTGAGCGGCAGATGACGCGATTGTACCTGTCTCATAGCGTTTGTGTGAGAAAATGGAAGAGTTGCCAGTCTTTTTGGTATGTTGTCTTCGCTAGAATGCTCTTTTTATTGATTTCCAGAGACCACGTCTAGCCCGCGGACCAAACATAGAATAATCCTGAACTGTTCAATGTGTGTAGTTGATAATAATGATGATCCCGGTTCGTACCTCTTCAAATATTTGAACTGGGGAATTTGGTAGCGAAGATTTACGGGCCAGTGATTTCTCGTGAAAGTGCAAAGGATTTCTCGGTTTCCAACAAAGCGAGTATCCTGTCAACACATTCCTTCCCTATCCTTTATTGACCTGCATTCGGGTGCGGCAGGCGCTGGTATTTCTAAAGTTTGTAAAGTTTTAGATCAACAGTTTTTACACACTGAGGATGATAGCTAATCCCAAGCATCATCTGTTGGTTCTTTGTGTAATTACAGATGATCTGGTAATAGCGGAGTAGCAACCGCGGGCGGTCAATCACGCTCATGCTCATGAATATCAAAAATTATTATAATAATACGGCATACAAAAATATGAATTTCTGAATATAACAAATACTTTTTTTTTTTTAAATTTCTGCATTGAGGCATCACTATTAACGATTTATTGAAACTTTTATAAGAAAGAATTGGTGATAAAACTTCATCTTTTAAAAATTAAACATCATACGGGATTTTTTTTTTTCTTTATTTTTGTGATTTTTAGCCGTAGGCTAGTTTATCACATATACATCATACGGGAGAAGTTTCGTTCCAACATAGTTTTCGTGTATATTTCATAGATTGAGAGATAAAAATCAGAAAAGAGGCCGTTTAGCTAAAATTCACAAGACAACAGAACCAATAAAAGTCAATTAGATTGACAGAACATAGTTGCATTGCTTTTCAATGACGACCGATGACTGTTTCATTGATATATGATTTTTTCATAAATATGAATCCTCAGTAGACGTGTTTTTTTTTTTATCAAAGGCAAGTGTCACTCGAACCATAACAGCAATTTATAAAATAACGAAAATTTTGAATGGCTCGAGTGACACTTGCCTTTGATAAAAAAAAACACGTCTACTGAGGATTCATATTTATGAAAAAATCATATATCAATGAAACAGTCATCGGTCGTCATTGAAAAGCAATGCAACTATGTTCTGTCAATCTAATTGACTTTTATTGGTTCTGTTGTCTTGTGAATTTTAGCTAAACGGCCTCTTTTCTGATTTTTATTTCTCAATCTATGAAATATACACGAAAACTATGTTGGAACGAAACTTCTAGAACAATATGAGGAACATTATGCCGTACACTACACATTTTTATATCATATGGGTGGAAAATTCGTAGAACAAATACTTTAAAATTCTTCACATTTTAAGATATCTTCGAGCATGAAACTAAGTGAAAATTCAATAAAATCACTTCGAATAGTCAACCTTTGGCCACAAAGTTGGTAGATAACACATTAAGCTTTGCTATGAAAGTTGTTACAGCAGCTTTCGTTGTTTCAGTCTCGAGATACAAATATTATAAGCCGTAAATTACCTTGAAAACATAAAATTAACTAGAAGCACCTCTAAATCAACACCGATTTTGCTGAAAATTTGCACAAAAGTTCAAATTAACATGACGAACAGTAATCACGGTCGACCCGTTACATTCCGAACATTTCGTTTAAAATGAACAGGTCTAGTGCACACTTGCCTCTAGATCACCTACACGGAATAGTGAGGCATCATTGTCGTACACAGTCAAATCCCCCTTGTTAAGGACCTTCACTGAGACTCCCTGTATCTAAGCTATTGGAAAAGTCGGTGTGTATCACCCACATATCACGGAATAATTAATGCAACATGAGTTGCTACTATGTTGAACTTTATGCATCGAATAACTTCGAAATAGAAGTCTCGGAGCTGACACTAGTTGTTCGAAGTGCTTAACCCAGTGCTAGTCAGTGGGTCAGTACCTAAAAGCAACTGTCCAGTCGCATCTTTTACAGGTATCTTTGGATTCTTCTTTGCTCCACTCAGACGTACAGTAGACGCCATACCTTGTTTGCAAGAACGTTTTACTTCCTTCCCTAGAGCCGAATATCGATGATGAGCTTGGTTCTTGGCTCCTTCCCGTTCTATCGCGGCTTTTCCTACACACTCGTTTTGGTCTTCTACGTCGTCAACTTCTGGAACATGCGCTCCTAGGCTTTTAAATTTCTCAACAAACGGCCTCTCTACGCTATATCTTCTAGCTGGCATGTGTCGAGCCTTCCATCCACCGTAGAATCCGCACAATGTTTATTACGCGAAACCCACATGACTTAGTGCAAAAAAAGAAATACAAAAAATAAAATCACGAAAATGCCCGAAAAGTGAAAACGCAAAGGAAGTATGTAGGGGAAATGGATGTAATGTCGGCCTAAATGCCCCTAATTTGGGACAATAGATAAATTCAGCAATTGACTAAATTTTCAATAGTGACCAAAATATCCATTAGTACCGTCCCAATGACGCGTTCATCTAGATAAAATTGATAAACAGCAGATTTTTAGCGATGGGCCCAATCGTAGAACCATAGGCCAACATTAGAGCAATTTCCCCAATAAGATTATTTATAATGCCAACGGATCCTTGTTCCGTATATGTTGCTATCACCTCACTTGCACCAGATCATTACTTTATTTTTACGGATAGTCTCAGTTCTGTCGAGGCTATTCGCTCCATGAGGCCGGTAAAGCACTCCTCGTATTTTCTCATAAAAATACGAGAGTTTCTAAGTGCTTTATCTTTAAGATCATTTGTCATCACCTTTGCATGGGTTCAATCTCATTGCTCGATTCCGGGCAATGAGAAGGCGGACTCGCTTGTAAAGGTGGGTGCTATGGAAGGCGATACTTACGATCGACAAATCGCCTACGACGAATTTTCCTTCATTTATCGTCAACAGTCACTCGCCTGCTGGCAAAATATATGGAGTGAAGGGAGTTTGGGACGATGGCTATATTCGATCATCCCTAAGGTGTTTAAGTATCCTTGGTTTAAAGGGTTGGAGGTGGGTCGAGACTACATTCGTGTGATGTCTGGCCTCATGTCCAATCACTATTCGCTAAGCGCGGACAGTAATCTCTGTGAATGTGGACAAGGTTACCAAGACGCAGATCACATTATTTAGTCATGTGCTGAGCACCGTGGAGTCAGATCCGAGTTGTACGATTCCCTTCGGGCTCGAGGTAGACAACCTAATGCCCCAGTTCGGGATATTTGGGCTAGATGCGATCTGGAGTTTATGCAACTCATATATGTTTTCTTTAAGAATATTAACCATAGATTGTAAGTTTGATTAACCTTGTGTTTAGTTTGTATTTTGTGTGTGTGTGTTTTTTTGTATATTTGTTTCTGTAATAATTGTATAATTACAGAGTCGATAGGATTAAGTACATGTTTTAGAATTAGTGAAATTTTTGAATCATAAATCATATTCCAAATCCCGATCCAAACAATTGTCATCCACTAACCTCGAGAAGACCGCGAGTAATCGGTCAAATCCTTTAATTTTAGATTTAAGACATTTATAATGTATAAAGAAAATGATAACATGGCTCTGTAAAGTTTATACAATTGAGCCTGTACAAATAAAGTAATTAACAAAAAAATAATAATGCCAACGGCAATATAGGAATTTTTGGTTATATAATCCCCTGCCCTTGGCTAGTTTTTGCA